GATGGGACTCAGCTGTCCCACCTGCACCTGATCTGTCCAGATTGTATGACTAGGAATTGGCAGTCACACAAGTGCTGTGTGCGTTGAGCCACATTCACCACCAGAGAGCTTTTGGTGAGGAGATTTCTCTCTATGGCCTTGAGGCTTACAAAATGCTTAGTCTGAAAAGTAGTTAAAACCATGGTCTACCCACAGGGTAGACAGGTGTTAGTCTCCACAGCAGCTCAAGCCACTACTGTGGACTGTGAGGTGATTTTGTAAGATGAAAGGGCTGTAAAGGAGATTACCTCCTCTGTCCTCAGCTCTAGTATGTGTCTCTGCATTTTTCCAAATGCATCCTGGCCTCACCAGGCCATTTTTGGTCTAGAATTGCAAATCATCTGCCCCACAGAGAAAGCAGTGCCCAAGAGCCTGAGAGTTGCTTCACAGCTAGCCACAATTCACTGTCAACAAACAGTTGCAGAACAACCCTGTCTTTCAAAGATCAACCTAGTACCATGCTTTGTTACCAGCAACATGGTTTTCAAATCTGATGCCAATAGTCTGGACCAGAAGAACATGCTTCAAGAGTAATTTGGAAAAACATCTGACAGAAGAGGTGTAAGGTGGTTGGCCCTGCTGCAGGACTAGATACCCTCCTGATAGCTCAATAATACCATCTCCTTAACTCTATGTGATTCTAGTATGTGACCAAGTCAGAGTGAAACTCTCCAGTCACACAGGCCCTTGTGTTAAGACTAATAATAACACAGACATTTCTCTCTAACTCTGAAATCTTGCTCACACTCACCATGTAGCAGAAACTGCCACAACTATATGACAGCAAGCACAACTTCATAATCACCATTCTCCAGGTCACCATGAAAGGCAAAAATACCTTTCCGGATGCAGATGTGGGGCATCGGCTGAGCCCCAACTCTCCTGTCAGAAGAGCAGATCAGGGAGCTTTTAATCAACTGGTTCCACATTTCATGTGGGTGCGCTGCCTGCTAGCACACCAGCCCCATGTTTTGGGATGACTGAAGCAAGAAAAATGCACCAGGAAGAGTCAGAAGAGAACAGCACAGTCCCAGGCCAGCCAGGATGAACTACCTGCCTTGTGGCAGCTCCCCCAGTTCTGCTCTCTTTGTCTGTGCTGTGCCCAGCAGCTGGCTGGCTGAGTAGCCATCCCTCCTGTGGGCCAGCGCCACATGTCTAAATTGGAGTATTATTCTCCAGTTCTAGGAAATTGGATTACGGGTCAGAGAATACCGACTGTTATTTACCTTTGATTAAAACCAGCCCTCCTCCCTCCCGGGCTGGAGAGGCCGGTGTTTCTGTTATTTACTCTCCTGCCAAATCTGGAGTTCAATCCCTGCCCTGCAGCACTCAATAAAAGCCAACGTGGAGGGGGGTTGTATGGCAGACAAGCAGGCAGGTCTGTGTGGGTGGAAGGGGAGTGATTATTCAGACCACTAAGTCCAGTTTGTTTCTTTTGCAGTCAGGCTCTGGCTTAGTGAGGACAGGGCTGCTGGAGGTGCCTGCCCCTATGGCTCACAGTTCTGACAGGGATCCAGCCAGGGTGATCCCAAGCAATCCCTGTTGGCACCCATGCCTGTCTCTGGACCTCTCACCTCACCACATCTCTGCTTTCACACAGCTCTCCTTTTTCTTTACCTCCTTTTCTCTCTCTCACACCTCAGCCTCCACCTTCCCCCTCCTCTCGCCCCCAATGACCTCCCTGCCTCCCCTTTCTGCCTCTTCCTCCCTTACACTCCCCCTCCTCCCACCCTCTCGCCTGACCTATGTTTCTCATTCCCCTCATTCTCCTCCTTTCCTCTCGCCCCACCCTCAAAGCCGCTATTCCAGGACAATAGAGCAGATGGCAGACTGTTTGTTTTATATGTCCCTCTGGAAAATCACTCAGCTGTTGAATCTGTGACTTTTGCTAAAAACAGACACCGTCCAACACTAGCTGAATGCAGGAGGAAACGGAGGGGGTTTGGAGGGGCTCTGCTGTCCCTACAAGCTGCACTACGACTTTGCCTGCACCCCACACCATGCCTTTGGGAAACAGGCCTGTCCAAGAGCCTGGAGAGGACTGTTCTCCCCTGCACACTAGAAGAAACACCAGCACAAGCGGAGAGAGCTTGGCCAGCTTCTGCAGTCAACCTCGTTCCAGCCAAAGCTGATGGTAATGTGGGAAAGGTGAAGCATTAAGGAATGGGCAGAGTCTTTTCAGTACATCCATCCTGCCCACTGGCCTGGTCTGCTGCTTGTTTAAGTGTTCACAAAAGCCAAGTTACGTGTGGTCTCCCCAGGCACAGAGTTGATGCTCTTTCCAAGCCTCACATCTTGTCTTGTGCTACTGGGGTAGCCATGAGTGAGAAGCCACAGGCCAGTGTTGAGTATGTGGGTAGTGGAAGACAGTCCTTGCCTTTTTGTTTCCAGCTTTCCCCTCCTCTTGCTAAACCCCTAAGCCCCAAGGTACTGGCCCTCAGGCCAGCATTTATCAGTTGCCAACACAGCCATGAAGAGCATGTAGATTTTGTTTTGGTTCTTCCTCTTGCCCAAACCACTTTCATCATCTGTCACCTCTCCCCTGCCATGTGCTTATATCAGCCATCCTTCAGATTTGTTACTTCATGGTATTTCTGGGTGGAGAGGGATCTTTGCTCCAGAACTCTGACCCTACTTGTCCTAAAGACCATCTTGTTACCCCTGCTTAGATGTGAAATACTGTCTCATCAATCCTGTAAGCCCTCCCCTCCTTCCCCACCCTGTCTCTGCTTGTAAGTGCTTCAGGGTAGGCACCATTTTTCTCTCTGACCAGCACCAAGCACAAGCTGGCCTTGGCTCACAAGCAGGGCTGCTGGATTCTCTGCCAGTGAAAATGCTGGATATTTCATGGCATGTCCTCCACCTGATACACTATGGCCAAAGGCACTAGCTGCAGATTCTCCCTGTGCCTAATTCTGGGAGTGGGATGGGGAAAGAAAGGCTTCAGAATAGCAGCATCTCTCCCCATCCAATTGCCCTATTTAGTTGCACTTTTTCCTTCATCACTAAAATCAACACTGTCTTCTCAAGCAGCAGCAGAAGGGTCAGGGCCAGCAAATCCATGTACAAAGCACTCAGTTTAATTTGTTCTTAAAGCTCACTATGAATCAGATGCAGCTCCCAGCAAAACAAAGGGAGGCTTGACTGAGGTACAGTCAGATGTAACATCTGAAGAGGCTCCTCAGACTTACAAAATCCTGGAAGGCAATTTAAACGTAAGAGATAGGCAAGAAGCCCATTCTTGGGGTCTGTAATTAATTACATATACTTCAAAAAGGGAGAGAGCTGAGTTCCCAGCTTTCTTGGAGTCCAAGCTAGATCAAACAGGCAGTGACAAAAATCTCAGGCTGTCAAGGAAGAGCCTTAAAAAGGCAATGCCAGCTAAGCAACAACAGCTCAGCCCTGCACTCCTTTAACCTCCCAGGTAATTGGGCAGAAAGTCCAGAGGAAAAATTCCTGCATCAGCTGGTGAAAACAGACAGTTATTTGTACCTTTGTGATGCTGTTCTTCCTGGTCTTGCTTATGTCTATAGTGACTCTTGCATCCTCTTCAGTGGAGTCATAAACTGAGCAGTATTTGGGACAGAAGAAAGTCCCAGTTAGTATGAGATCCTATCTCTAGCATCAGCTGCTAGCCAGTGCCTCAAGGACGAACATAAGGATGGCCCATGTTTCTCTGTGCCCATGCAGTTACCAAATGGAGGTCACCCAGCTTCCTTCACCTTTGCATTCACCTCAGAAGTGTGCTCAGATGTGTAGAGCCCTGGTGGCTTGTGGTGCAAAAGGGCAAGCCGTCTGTTTTGTTGGGTTTTTCACAGATTGAAGACAAGAGAAATTAAATAAATAACTGAAAAGAGCTGGGCTGTCTGAAAAGCCTTCGTTGTAAGCAAGGGCAGAGGAAGTATTGAAATTAAGAGGCCAAATCTGCTGAAAGGAATTGAGTATAACTGTCAGAGAAGAAGACATCAACATATCTTAAGTGTTATTTAAAAAAAAAAAAAAGAAAAAAGAAAAAGGGGTTCAGGGCCAACCAACCTGATCTCACCTCTTCCAAGGTGAACTCTGACTCACAGGCTGGGATCCTCTCTGGCACTGGTGGGCTACAACTGTCCTGATCACAAAACCATGCAGAGCTGGGGGTCCAGGCAACATCCCCTTTCCCACTATTGCTGGGTAACTCCCACACAGCACTTCAATGCACAACTGAAATTCCCATGTTCTCCTCCAAGGCCCCACTTGTGGTTTCTTTCCTTCCAATCTCATCTCTTCCTGTTCCTATTTCTCACTTTTTGGCTTATCTAGTAAACTGCTAGTCTTCTGAAGGCTGCATCTTTAGCAAGAGGTCTGAGGAAAGAGCTGAAGACTGCAGTCTGGGTACAAGTTGGGTAAATCTCACAGTGGCTTAGAAATCTATTTTTCTTCAGCAACAGAGCAGTTAAGAGGAGTTGGCACCAGAGATAGAAGCATTGTCTAGCATTGCTATTCTCTCTCCCCTTCAAGTCTTTAGCAACAACTGCAGTTTCCCACCTATTTCAAGTAACTTCTCTTTTCCCCCTGAAGAAAGGATAGTCATTAACATTTTCTTTGCACTGTCGAATAGGGGTTTCCCTATAAAAATCCTTCACAACTTTACATTTCAAATACTGTAACTGCTTTTTACCCCCTCCTTCTCCTTTTTCTAAATTTTCAGTATACAGCTTAAACATCATTAGTAGTGTTGGTTGCTATGGCATTGGGCAGGCGGAGATCTCTGAACTTGAAACCTTGAACTACACTTAATGTACAACAGCAGGGTCATGCCAACACCTTTGACTCTGACCCAATTTTCCCCAGTAAAATATAAAGACCACATCTTGGGAGGTTTTTTTCCTGCAATGAATGAAGCATGAGATTGAGAAAGGGAGAAAGAGATATAAAAAAAGAGGAAAAAAACCCAAACCAAAACAAAACAATTTAATAGACCCAGTGGAACCTTTCCAAAAATTTTAACTGTCATATCAGAAAATCATGAAGGAGAATTAAAAAAAAGACAGTCCCTTGAAAAGTTTCACGTGCGATTGTTTCTTATTTTCCCAAGAAGCTAAACATTCTAATAAACTAGGAAAATGAGACTGTAAAATCACAACATCTGACAGCAAGCCCCAGGGGCAGGAACCATTCCTGAAACTAATTTTATCTCAGGTTTTAATGTTGATCAGATTTCATGTGGTGAATGTTCCCTTAAGCTGTCTCTCTGTTCTTAGAGAAAACCTGGTTTCTTTTGTTGACTTCGAGAAGCTATTTTCTTTCTAGCGCATTGTCGTCACAGGCATAACAGGACTTTTCTGTCATTCATTTCTCTACAGCCCAAGAGATGCCCTGCCCTAGACATCTCATCTGTTCTCGGTTTCCTTATGAGACAAGACATTTTCCACAGAAGTGGCACATAACTGCTTCAGCAACAAAGTCCAGACTTAAACTGGTCCCCATGCAGCCACAGAAGGACTCTACCCATTTAACATCTCATTTTCAGCCATGCAAAAAGCACCAGGTCAATTCAGACTCACTGAGGCCATGATCCAAAGTGGGCTTCCAGTTCCTCTGTTTTGCTTTTCCCCAGGAAAGTAAAGCTGCTGTACCAGTTTCTTCTCTTTCTCTGAGCACATGAATTGCATTTTGGTTTTACTGTCACCAGGACATCTACAGATAGGACTGTTTTTTAACTCAAAGTCTTGATGAACAACAGCTTAAAGTATGAATAGGGAAAAAAGAAGATATCCTGGAAGTGTAGATTTCTCTTGAAGACTCTGATTTCTTCTCACAGAAGCATTTTTCATCTTATGGTTGAATTCAAACCAAACCATTTGCCCTGTGAGGCATGACTTATGTTGCACCTGTGTCCAACAGTTGGGTGTCTCTGTTTTGAGCCACATGGTTCCTAGGGTTGCATAGCTGTGTCCTTTGCACGACTCAGGGAATGGTCACTGGCATCAGCTAACCCCTGTCCCTTCTCCAGATGAATTTCCAGTTCAAAGCCATGTTGTGCAACAGAAGAAAGCAGGGGTCTCTGCTGCTTCACAAGCTGGTTAAAAGATGGTAAGAATGACCAGGCTGGAAAACAGCTCAAAGGGCTCCTGCTTTCTGCTTCTCCAGAAATTAAAGTGCTCATTCATTTCTAGATCCCCCATTGCAGAGCTGGAAGATCTTTCTGACACCTTTCCTTTAAACCTCATGTGTGCTGTGCAGGAGTTGCTGGTGCTTGGGGAGTGGGAGGAGCTAACAGGGTGGCCAGTTTTCAAAATGGTAGAGGCACAGTGATAGTTGCCTTGGTTCTTCCAGCCCACCAGCAGCAGGCTTCACATCAGCAGCATCAAAGCTGAGTAGCTCTTCAGAAAAAGGGCATCTGTCCTTTCATCTGGAGATTACAGGAATCTTTCACAGACCCCAGCAGTGTGTTTTGAAACACTCTTTAAAGAGAAATACCTGTTTGTGGCACCAACTGCCATTTAAAACAGTCTCTTTGCCTTGCAGCTTTCCCTGCAACACTCTTCCCCAGTCATTCAACCATGTGTACAAGGACAAAATTGTGCCAAAGTTCATTCATCAGCAAGCAGAATTGCCCAGGTTTCATGCCAAGCTCTGTGCTGAGAAAAGAACTCTCCACAAATATGCCAGAAAGCTTGTAACGTATTTGGGCCTGCTCCTTCCCCATGTTGCACTCAGCAGGAACAGCAGGAAGGCAGAAACCTGCTCTTAGCATCTGGAGGAAAGAAACGCAGAGATAAAAAGCTCTTTGCCTGGCTGTTTCCATTCTTTCATGACTTAATTTTTTTGGGGCTCAGAGAAGATTATAAAGCTGTAACCTCTAATCCGCTCCTGAGCACTCCTTCTCCATCTCTTCCTTTCTCCTTTCTTTCAGCCAGTTCTAATCCTTTATGTCTCCTTTCTCACAGGTAGGAGTTGTAGTTCTAATCTTAGACGACAGGTTGGTAATTAGAGCAAGAGATTATCCTGACTCCGTATCAAGAAGGTAAAAAGAAAGGAAAAATGCAATGCCATACAAGATCAAGCCTTCAATGTTCAGTACAGGAACCATCCTCATCTCAGACTCTGTCTCCTCCTGGCTCCCCCACACCCTCTCCTTTGTCCTGGCAGAGGGGGGAATTCCTGATCCTTTGTACTTCCTGCCCACCTCCCCTCTGCTGAGCAAGGATTGTGCTTTTCCAGCACTCATTCAACACAGAAATGATCACATTTTCCATTTCTATAGACCTTGACTATGCAGAGACTCAGCCAAGGGCCTGTGGCTGGAAAGAGTGGGTGGTGAGGAAAGCACAGGCAGATATGGAGGAGGGGCTGCTCAGAGAAGCTGGAGCCATGGAACAGTATCAGCCTTCTCAGCTGGGCACTGGGTTACCCATACACAGGGCCTTTCTAGTCCAGCAAGATGAATCCACAGCAGGCAGCAGCAGCAGGTCCCCAACTCTATCCAGATTCCCAGCAGTCACTACCCAGTCCTTGATCTGCTCAGGAAGGCATACTGCTCCCATCCCTTGCGCACATCCCAGAACAGGTGGGAAGCACATCCATGTGTCAATCCTATGTTATCCATCTTTCCTACAGATCTCATCTTTTGTCCTGTGTCACTGGTATTCAGTGAGGACAAAAAAAGCCATCCCATAACCCCAAGACTACCATAGGAAAGGGGAAATTGGGAACAGCGAGCTTCTTCAGTGTCCCACCCCTACATGCACAAGGTAAATGGATGTCACTAGGACCCACTGTTAGCTGAGGCTCAAGCATCACCAGCCAACAGCCTGCAGGCACCAGGAGGTGTCAGGATAGAGATGGCAGTGGAGTGATCAAAACCTGCTGGGGAGAGAGGGAAGGAAGGTCAGGTGACAGTTTTAACACCAGCACACAGCTAGAGAATGGAAGACCTCTCCCTCATGTCCCATCCCACATCAGGTGCCCACCCTGTACTACAGAGCTCCAGCACTGGTTGTTCACCTCAAGATTTCTTTTCTCAGCAAAGCTAAGCAGCCAAGCCTCCCTCCAACACCTGAACCCAGCTCTGACCCATGTAGCCCAAGCCCACAGCTCACCCTGATCACAGGCAGGGAGATGGGCACTGCACCAGTCCCTGCTACATGGTACTACTGATGCTCTTTCCATTGCCTAGCTGCTTCCCACCCCTGCTATCTCCAGCCAGGAGCTTCCTAGCCATGCTCTGCAAATAACAAACTTTAGGTTTGTTCACTCAAAGCAGAGAAAGTAAATCAAAGAACACTTTTGTTTGCAGTCAGCCTGAAGTGAACCTTTTTCTTTTTCCCCTTCAGTTTTCTCAGCAAAACAAAAAATGAAAAAGCAAGCAGAATTTCCTTTCTGGATTTTAAAATAACATTTCTGTTCCTGTCCCAGAGGTAAAAGGTTAGCTCGTTCAGTCTCAAAATGTGAAATAAATGGCAATACTTTTGGCTCAGGAATTGTCCAAATAAAATGTTTTGATACTCCTCTCCTCCCACTTATCCAAAAATGTTTGCAAAGTTTGTAAGCATTTGCACACACCTTAATGCTGCTGTGCCCCTCACCCAATAAGCCATGTGACTGCAAGGTTTCTGTCCTATCTCTAGACCTCCTGCACCCCATTTGGCTGCCTCGCCCTCCCAGTCTGAGGGTTTACATGCAGCAACACCCAGAGCACTCATGCCCTGTACCTTGAGGGATCCTCTTGGGGTGAGAAAGGGCCGCTGAGTTCAATAACATTGAGCTTGTTCTCAAAGATACCATAGCTGAGGGTGACCTGCAAAGAGGAGGGGTGAGAAAGGAGCAGGGAAGATGAGGTGAGTTCAGGAGCAAGGAACTTGCTTTGGGTGACAGAAGCTCCCATTCTGGTTCCTTCTCTGCTGGCTGGGCCTCTGCCTTCCACATCTTTCCTGCCTTCCTTCCCATGATGGTCCACTGTGCTAGTCCTTGCTTCTCCAGGTGCCCTACGCCCCTTGTTATCTCCCCACACAAGACAGACATGGTGCCATGTCAAAGACCCTTCACCAAACAATCATCATTTTTTCTTTTTCTTTTGCCACATCCCCCCAGGAATGCCCTCAATCCTCCCATCAGTCCTCATGCACATGCTCCCCACCACTGACTCCAGGGTCACTGTCACTGGCATTTGTGCTGCAGGCAACATCTGCACCTTATTTCAAAGAAGCATTTGTCAGGAAAGCCTCTCCCAAAGAGCAGACAATTGACTCAACCCACATCAGTGCCACCAATGGAGCAATGTGCCTGTAAGCTCCCCTTCACTTCTTCCTCCCTCGTGTTTCATCTCCCCTCCTAACTTGCTGTGTGAGCCGAGAGGCAGGAATGAGCTGCAGGTTTTCCAGGTGGGAGTGGAAGAGTGGATTGGGCAGCAGCTGCCCACTGACTTTGCACTCAATGATGTAACCCACGGTGCAGTCGTCTGGTAGGCGGATGAGCTCTGAAGTGCTCAGGAAGTTCCTGCCACTGGAAAAGAGTAGGGTTGCATGGGTTAGGAAAAGGGTAGGGAGGCATATAGGTATCCACTTGGGTGGGAGATATAGGACTTAATTGAAAGGACTTAATTGAAAACCAGAATAAATCTTGGAACTAGGCAAGAAATCCCCGAGTCCCACCTGCAAAGATTTAGGAATGTGTTTGCTCTTTGACCACTCCCAGCCATGCTGTCCCACCAGCTGTTGGGTGCTGTCCCTGATACATATCTAGCTCCTCAGTGAGCTGATCCAGAGAGCTGGCAGTCTTTGCTGAGCTACTTTTCCATCTGTTTGCAGAGCTGCACTGAGTCCCTGAGGGGTAAGACAAACTAGCACAAGAGAAACAGTGGGACCACATAGCCAGGACCAGGAGGAAGAAGAAACAGGACCATCCCATGCAGCTTGAATAAGCCATCCATGCTGCAATGTAACACCACATGCTTGGCCATCCTTTGATGACAGGCTAAACCAAATTTTAAGGCTTCTGTAACTGGAAGCAACCACACAGCATGAAGTGCTGTCTACTATAACACCCCTCAGCCAGTTCAGATGTGTTTTAAGCATTTTCACACAATAGTAGCAAACTTTATGCCAGTTTAGGCATTATGTATGCATGACACTTTGATTTTACCCTAGATCATAGATCATCCTCCTGTCTAGGTCTACCATAAAATACATATCATGGGCTTCAGCTAAACCAGCCACCTGGTCTGGATCAGATCTGTCTTTCTGGGTATGCACAGATCTAGTTAAGGCTAGCACAGCCATTGCCTATCAGTACATGTGTATATAGCCTGTGATATAACCTAGGACATCATGGAAAACATCTTGTTTTCCATGGCTGGGCTAACAAGAGACTCCAGGATCTACCTCTGGTTCTCCATGCACCAAGCTGAGGAAGTGACAGTGGCCACTGTAAGAAGCTGAAGAGGGTTTGGGCTGGGGGAATGGGAAATTAGCTCAGGAGTGAGGTACAGGAGGTTGGAAAGAGGCAGATTAAGCGGAAAGGAGATAGACAGACAGGGAAAGTACTTATGAAAAGAGCCAGAGGAAGCTGAAAGGGATGGGAAGGAGTGTGGGGGAATAACCAACAGCTGAGAGGAGCTGGGGAGAGTATGTCATCCTATGATCATATTTGCTGACATGCCTGCTCTTGCCTCTTTTTAATCCAGTGGCAGACCCACACACTACATCCTTTCTCCAGTCCCACATGCTTGCAGATGTGTAGCATGCGGCACTCTGCACCCTTGCAAACAACCTTGCAAACATCACATACACAAATTCATACCTGACACTACCAGGAATTAACATGCAGTGGTGTTCCTCATCCCCAAAGGCTCCCATACTCACCAGCTGCACAACTCACCTGGCCCACGGCACCATCTTGCTTGCCAGCTTGTGGCTGATGCAGAATCCAGCCCCTCCTGTGGCAAAGCAGAAGTGCACAGATTTCTGGAGACAAACAGCAGAGAAAATCAATGGCAGAGGCTCAGACAATACCATACTCCCTGAGACAGGAATGCTGGAAACCCAGCTTTGATGCCAGGATAAACACAACCCTATTGTCACCCCAGACCCCTGACTACTGCCCAGAAGAAGGACTTGCCAGCAGTACAGCATAGATTTTGACCTCCTCATATTTGGAACAGACAAGTTCCTGCTGGCAACAGCAGGTGGGCTGTCTAAGGCAGGCTTATCTCCTGGCAGACAGGTACCTAAAGGCACAGCAGCAATGTGGACTTTTTTCCCTAGGTAGACTGGATTGAGTCAACACCTATAACCATGTTCAGACAAGACTGGTGAGTTTTCAGCTGTTGCCTGTTGCTCTTGGTACCTGCTTCTCCTTGGGATACATCTACAGCCAATGAGCTACAGCACTAAAAACAACCCACTGGCCCCCACAGCACCACCATGGACTGCACCATCTGGCTGTTTGGCAGCATTTCAGAGGCCCAGATGGGTCGGTTCAGGCTGGGTTTCCCCAGGTAAATGTCCCACATTGCAGAGTAAGAAGACAAGAGGTTCAGAAGGGCCCGAGGGTTCAGGTAGTTGTCATCATCCAAACGGCAAAACCAGCTGGGGGCAGACAGGAACAAAGACACAAGAAGTTTTCAGTAAGGAGGGAGCTTCTTGCTCTCAGCAGTCCTGCCGTGGCAGCCCTGTCTCACCTCCAGCCACTGGCCAGGAAGGCATCAAACTCGGCAGCCATCTTGCAAAAGAGGGCTAGGTGACTGTGCTCAGCAGAGCAGCTGGTGAAGATACCGTGGTCAACTCCCAGGAGAGAGAAAGCTGTGGATCAGGGCTGTCCCACTTCACACAGTTATGGGGAGGACCTCCGAGTGGGAGGCAAGGGGTTTGTTCACAGCCAACCTCCTCGCAGCCCCCTGAACAAGCATCTGAGCCTGCAGTGATGTGGGCTCCATCCTTCCCCTTACCAGGAGATCAAACCTGGAGAAAGCCAAGCATCTTGGCCAAGACTAGGACACGTGCCAACTGCGCTTCCACCCTGCCCACTGCCAGCCAGAGTGTGGGGGCTGAAGGGCTCTCCCATGGGCTGCTTCCACCCACGGATGCTTTAAGGCAACCTGCCTCCAGTTGGCCGCATGCCCCGGAGTAAGCCAACTAGACCAAATCATCACCACAGCAGCTTGGGGTCCTCCCATGGGACATGGCAAGGGGTGTGCTTCAAGAGGCAGTGCTGGCGTAGAAAAGCCAACCTTCATGCTGGACCGCCTCCCAAGGCCATGGCAGCTCAGAGGCTGAAGGTGGAGGGAGGTGGTGTTATAGTACAGGTCGTTACCCATTCTCCTTTTCAGGGCATCGTCTTCTTCATCAGTGAAGACATAGGTCTGGGGAAAACAAGGAAAGATTACTCTCAGGGCTGGAGCTGGTGCTGCTCCTGACCACCCACCCCTTTCTCCCCACAGCTGGACATACTCGTCATGGTCACCCCTCTTCATCCTCTGCTGCCATGTCCCCCTCCCAGGCAGCAGTTGAACAAAGGGATAGCCACACTCTCCCTTCCTGCATGGGACAATCATCAGTGCTTGTATAACTTCATTTCCTCCCATCCCTGCCACCTTGGGAACAGGGAGAAGGGGACCTGTGACATCAAGTGGTGGGGTGAGGGAGCCCTTGCTTAGGTGTCAGTGATAGAAAAACAAAAGCACCTTAACTGAGCGATGCTTGGGTTAAAAGGAGAACATCTGTTTCTGTGTTAAGTGTGCACAGCCTCCTGCCATTTCCCGCCTCCTCCTCTTCCTCCACACCCAGGCCTCTCTAATCCCCCTTTCTACTATTATGTGGCATATCTCCCCCTCTTCAGGGCCAGGCAGGGATCAGGGCTGGTGAAGAAAAGCTTTCCTCAGGCAGAAAATGAGCTTTCATAAAATCAAAAAGGAGTCATGAGCCATAAACAGTCTCTCTACCAGCTGCCCACAGGGTGGTTAAACACAGCACCTGGGCAGGAACAAAGGGGATGAGGCAGGCAGATGAGAGGTCCAGGAGCCACCACAAGAGTGTCTATGTTTCCCCACATCCACCCAGCATTTGGGAGATATGCCCCCATCAGGAGGATGTGGCAAGAGAAATGTTCTGCACATGAAAAGAAGATAATGAAGGACCCTCAGAGACCACCTGGCTTGAGTAGAGACAGCAGGATGGGTTCATGATCTCAAATGTACACGCTACAGCAACTTGGTGAATTACCCTCCAGCAGTCATGCTGCAGCAATGGGACATGCACACATTCCTACCCACCCCCCTGGTAAAGTCTCTTAGTTAAAACCACTTTCAAGGTGATCATGGGACAAGAAGCAATTAACTAAATATCAGGTAGTCCTGGCTCTGAGTCAGGAGACCATATCACAACCTTCAGGCAAGGCAGGGCTTGTCAGTGGCACAGGATTTCCCTCTCCAGCACGTCAGAGACAGAAATTTCCACTATAAGCAATATTTCATCTTAAGAAAAAAAATTCTGAAACTGTTGAAACTTTCTGACATTTTTAAAAAAACCCACAAACGTTGCTGGAAATTACTTGCTTATAGATATAAAACCAACTAGAAATCATGTGTCTAATAATCATATCTGATTGACTTAAAATAGGAATCTGCATCTTTTCCCAGATATTCTACCTGTGAAATATTCCGAGGTTCCCACTTTCCTCTTGATGCATGGTGGAAAATGTGTTTTGCAGACACCCAACATGTTTCTGTGGGAACCCAAGGATGAAATAACATGTCCAAAATAACTGGAAAAAGGGGGCTATGAGTGTGGGGACTAGGCAAATCTGATTTCTCTGGCTCTCCCAAACTCTGATCTCTATGGCACACCTGGCTACAGTACTCCAGAGATGCCCTGGCTCTGTCCTGAAGGAGATCACAAGAACACAGGCAGCTGCCTGCATCCTTGTGTCTCCATACCTTACACCCCTGAGAGTGGGTAACCTGGAACAGCACTTGCTGTTGGCATCCAAGTGACCACTGCCATGTGTCCCTCAGCAAAGTCACACACAATGGCTGGGATGGGGAAGAGAGAGAAGGACCCTGGCTAAAACCTGCCCAGTTATGCAGGTCTTTCTCAAGGAGACATCAGACACTGTTGTCCATACTAATGGAGATATTCAGAAAGTCCCTCTGGCCATGCTGGATCTATTCTCCCTGCTGGGGACATGCAAGCAGAGGAACACCTAGTGTCACTTCTGCCCCTGCAGGCAAATGGGGTAGACAGAATCAGCCTCCCCATCATATCCACCCTCCTGTTCTCCACCAGAACATCTATGGGGCAGCATCTCCCATTGTGGTGCCTCAGTGCACTGAAACTGAGCCAGGATGGCTATCAATGCTACTTCAGGGCCTGAGGAGGGGTGCAGCATGGAAAGCATCCCTCCCTTCTGGAGTGGAGAAGATGGCTGGGTGGGAAAGGATGTCTGCTGGATGGCAGTGCAAGCAGCAATATGGAACCACTAGTGTGAAACGGCTTTTGCCTGGTGGCTCTCTGTGAACATAAAAGTCCATGCAATTGATAAACACTAGACCTTGAAACCTCCACATACCAAATTGAGAAAGTAGTCTAGCAAGTAAAAACTAGGAAAAGGGAATAAAGACGTGGAATCTGACAATCCAGGGCCACATGCATCTCACAGGCTCTCAGGGTATCCCTTCTCCAACAAGAAACCCCCTTCAAAATGCAAACAGCTCAGCAGGGTTATGGCTGTGTTATGGTTATGTGTTCTCTATGCCTAGAGAACACATTCAGAATCTACAGCATGTTCACAACATTGAAAATGTGAAAGTCAGTTCAGGATGGCTTTCATTTCAATCAGTTGGGTGTCTGGAGGGTTTCTGAAAGGAGGGGAGGTGCTAGAATCAGTTTACTTTACCAAACAAAATGCGATTTCAGACCAGAACTAGACTTACCTGCATCAGAACTACTGAGGACAAGAATGTATTCCACCCCAAGATGCTGTCCAGCCTAAACAATCATCAAAACTGACACTTCTGTTTAGACTGAACCTTTTCTGAGGAAAAAGTCTTTCACTGAAATGACTTCCACATCAAGCTCCAGTGGAAAGTTTGCTGTGGATCAGTTCTCAAGAGGCAGAGCATGGTCCAGCAAAGAGTGCCCATCTCGCACTTCCTCACCTCCCACTAACTGCATATCTTTTATTCTGTTTAAACAGTGCAGTTTCAGGGAAAATGTCTCTCTTATTATCTACCCTGATAGAGTCCAACATAGAGGACTTTTAATTTGGCTCCCATGCAGCCCATCCTAGCCATAAAAACCACAGCTGTTCCTGCCTCCTGTTACAGTCACCTAAGCCTGACCTGGGAGGTCTGGGTTGCTTCCTCCGGGAGGACATCATGCAGGTAATCAGCTCTGAAACCAGGCTTGGCATCAGCAGCACAGCCAGCTACTAAAATTTCACCACTGGCCACCAGCAGTGGAGGACCCACCAAATCAGTCTCCAGCCATAAGTAAGTGCAAGACAGCAAGATGGTGGGTCAGGCCTAGGAGGAGGCAGTCTCTGCACATCAGCACTTCGTAGATGGCGATATCTCTAACACTGGCTCTTAAAGCCTATGCCTCTCCCTAAAGACGCCTAAAGATAGGAGGTCTGGCGCCCTATCCCTGGCTCCACAACAATTAAATGTCCTTTGCAAATTGAGAGCTCTTATTTCAGCTAAGCAAGATTTCTATATTATCAATTTGTCAAACCTCCAGAAAACCCCTCCAGCAGCAGTATATTTTAAAAAAAAATTTAAAAGTTTTGACTTTCATGTAATTCTCTTTACCTCCTTCCCTGCCCCTGCTCCCCTGCCTCCAAGACCATGTAGTAAAAAGCAGAAGAAAAACATGGAAAAGTGAGGAAGGGGGAGGAGAACACTGAGCTTGCAAGAGAAATTGGTAACAATGAAAAAACACTGTTTAAAAGTGACAGACACTCCCATTCTACCCTTCCTATTCCCCTGCTCAGTCTGTGAAGCTTTCCTAGAAGCTGACAGCAGCATGGAAAATTCAACACCTCTTCCGAGGTTTGGACATTGTTTGCCTGACAAACAGAGAGCGTCAGATGAATCTTTGGAGCTAGTATATAATTTCTGTCATCAGCAGAATGGCCAGGCACCCTCTTATTCTTTGTCAAATGCACAAGGAGGGAAAGGGGAGCTGCTCCTTAAAAACCCACTCCAAAAGCCCCAGCTGCAATATCTTAATGTCACTGCAGCCATGCGGTTGGGTTTGGTTTCTCCAAAGAGCTGCTGTGCTCAGGTCAGGCAGAGAGAAGTGCATCTGGAGGAGGAAGCACAGCATCTCAGATGCTGAGAGAGACACACAGACAGGAGAGGAAGTGTGCTCAAAATAGGACACAGCTTCCTGTGACAACCGCAGCAGAACAGACAGTTGCAGCACCATGAAGTGGAAAACCACCCTTACCCAAAAAACCCTGCATTGCTTTAAGTGCTCTCCTACCCAGTACCTCCACCCCCATCCCCCTTTCTTGCTGAGGCCTGAATTTGTCTTCTAGGTGCCTATCACACACAGGCAGAGGCAAAAAAAAAACCACCCTTTGGGGGCAGCCACAGGATTTCTCCTTTCTTGAGGACCAGCTCAAGAGGGAGGGAGAAAAGTACGCAGGCTCTGAGGATTACTTCTGCCCACCAGTAAGGTAGCCTGCACAGCACCACCAACGTGGTGTCCCACCTCAGTTCCTCCAACAGGAAGGGAACTCTCCAAACTCTGCTTTAGCAAAGGGTGGAACCATCAGACCCCCAGTTAAAAAAAATACTTTAAAAATCAAATATTCCCCCACATCCCTTCAAGATCATGCACGTGAGGGAATCTGTGCAAGGAAGCAAGGTATGGATTGTGCTGATGTGCTGGGAAGTGACCTGGGCTGCACTCTTGCTGCACACCAGGGGGTCCTCCTGCCTCGCTCTCCTGCCCGCAGCACCATACCATCCCAGAGCAAAGGGTGCTCAAGCACAATGTGGCCATCCTGATGGAGGGCCAGGTGGAGCCACTCAGCTCAAAATCTAGCAGACTCATGTGCACGAGGAGGTAGAAAACTACCATTTCATACAGATCCAGGATGGTCTGTGCTCTCAGTCTGATGTGTCCCAGGCAGACTGCAGCCCTTGGTCTTACTGGTTAATAAAAGGAAATTAAATCTGTTAAACTTCAAGCTGAAAGATTCAGGCTTAGGTTAGAGGCAGGTGATGCCTGCTAAGAGCACTCGTATTCCCATTCTTCATGGGGAGAGCCCACACAAGCTCTTCATCCCCTCTGTCAGCCTTTCCCATGAAGCAGCTACAGCTGAAACATTTTGCTGGTTATCATCCCCCCTTTCCACGTGAACAGAAGTTGAGAATTAAGGAAAACAAGGTGAAGTACTGGGTGGGACTGCAGTGCTCAGCTTCCCCTTCCTTTGGCCTTTATCACCCCCAATGTCACCCCATCACCAAACACCCCCTCTCTAGTCTGAATCCACACAATCACCTGCTCTCTGGCCTGGGATATCCATGTGTCCAGGAGCAGCTCCATCCTGCTCTGGTTAAATCTCTTGGTTGTCTTCACAGCTATGAAAATGTCCTCAAGGTTTCCCTCAGTCCTGTATCCCTCTGGAGAATGGACTTGCAGGTCCTTCTGCCCCCTGCCACCACCTCCCTCTGGGCTCACTTTGCTCCATTGCTCTGTCTTCTCTAAACTCCCCTCCCTGAGCCCTGGGTATTGAGCTGTTTCTTGAGCCCCACGGTGCTGCACAGAGAGGAGAGCCATGCTGACAATGAAGACTGCAGCTCCAGAGAGACCATGGATCAGCCGACAGCCCATGGCTCCCAAATTGTTCCCACCACAGCCAGTATCCTACTGAATACGGACAACCCCTGTCTGTACTTCCAAGTGAAGCTGTCCACCCTTCTCGAAGCTTCCAAAGCGGTAGGACCAGACAAGAGCGAGGTCTGAATAGGATGTGGCCAAGGAATAGGGTGGGTGAAGACCAGAAATCTGAAGAGACAGCAGCCCTGAAGGATACTGGTGAAGCTGGGGAAATATCCACAGATAAGAGGGCTCGATGACCCAGCGAGGCAGGTACACGTGATGGGAAAATACTGAGATGACTGGCAAGTGGCTGGCACAGCCTGCCAGGAGGAAAGTGAGCATCCCCACTCCCAGCAGAGAGGCCAAGAGTCCCAGGCTGGAGGTCGAGGGGGCAGCAAAGGACATCAGAGCCATCGGTGGGATGTCTGGACCGAAGGCAGCAGTTCCCCAGAAGACGCCAGCCTGCACATCCAAGCCGGAGGCTGCGTGGTAGAACCAAGCAGTGAGCACAGGGCATCAGGAAAGGGGCCGGGCGCTATGCGTGTGGTGGGACAGTCTCTCCACCTGCTCCCTCCAATGCAGCCCGCTCTTGCTCCCTGCCAGACCTAGCCCCGGCCCCAGCCCCTCCTCCGGGCATGGGTTGGGGCGCCAGCCCCGGGGGAGGAAGGACGGTGGAGGATGGAGAGGAGGCGGCCCTGGCTCTGACACTGGGCTTGCCTCTCCAGGGCATCACCAGGCCAGGACACCTCCAAGGTGATCAAACAGCTGATCTGGGAGAACAAACCTGTTGCTGGATGGTTTACCCCGCTCCTCTGTGAGAGTCCAGCCTGATCTCTGCAGCCCTTCTCAGCCCTGCACTCTTGTGGGAGGAGAAGCTGGCATGGATATGGGCTATGGTGAAGTTACGGTGCAGGGTCCTATATTGTTCTTGGGAAGAACGATGTTTCTCCAGGAATTGCCCCAGACCTTTCCTGTGGGCAGTGCTCTGCATTGCTGCCCCTGTCCTTTAACCCCACCCTGCCTCCCCAAAGCAGGACTGTGTGTCCCCTGCTGTACCCTGCATATGCCCCAGAGTCTCAAACTAGGGTCTGATGCCCATTTCTGACACCCATCTCTCCGAACCATGACCCAGACCCTCTCTACTCTTGAACGTCCCTTTTCCTCTGCCTCCAGCCATGCACCCCTCACCCTCCATCTTGCATCCCCACTGGGGATGCCCAATGACAATCTATTCCCCAGGTAGCTGCAGAGCCAGTGACACTCACAGGAACAGGTACACCAACACCAGAGAGTGTGAGGAAGGGCCTGTCACCTTCCTTTCCATGTCTGTGGCTCAGCATCACCACTGAGTTTATACCTCACCCAGGTCCATGACCTCTGCAGCAGGGCTGAGCTCAGCATCTTGTCCCTTGTGGCTCCTGTGCTATCCAAAACAATGTCCTACAGGCACAGCAGTAAAATGACACCTCCAGCTCCTTCCCCTCCACCACCACCCACCTTTGGGCATGGCCTGTGTCACACAGCCCTCCAGCTGCCAGCAAGGCTGATGAGGCCAGGGGGGCAGTCTGGGGCCATGACACAGAACATGCTGAGCATATGGTCAAGTCCAGCACGGAGAAGGCTTTCCCCAGGAACAGGGAAATCAGAGCCTCTCTAAAGGCATGAGAGCCCCTCTCAGGACAAAGACCGCCACAGATAGGAAATCTGGGTTTAGCACCACAAACTGGTCCATGCTGTTGTGGGTTCAGCTGGATATGGGGTAGATGACGATGAAGGTCCCCTTCATGCTACCACTTTACAGAGCAGCTGGGGGGTACACAGAGGCAACCAGCCCAGGAGGGGGGTGATACCTGCACCCCCACCCCAGCCTCCCTGTGCAGCGAGCATGGGGACAGCAGGATGGCAGTGCTCTACATAAACTGCCAAAATCAGAGCACCTCCTCAGGGAGCTGCAAGCTGTGGGCATTCAATCTCAGCATACCAAAAAAAAAATGTAATAAGATGGAGACCCGGGGGAAATGTGGGGGCGAACATGGCTCCATGTGGCACAGGGCCCCCCTGTGCATATGTCAGATGGAGGGACCTTAGAAAAGAGGGTCAGAGCAAGGATCAGGATCCTTCCATGTGTCCAGACACAGACACTTTCCAGACACACAGGGAATATCTCCCTGCAGGGCTAAAACCCTGGGTGCTTGGTTTCCTCAGGCCTTGTACACATACACTTTCACCCCCGCCCTGTCCCTGGCTACAACTTTTTTCCGTTATAAGGAAGAAACCACTGAATCCACTTCTCCCCCTCCTCCCATGTATTTCTCCAAGTCTCCAAGACTTCTAGCCTTTCCCTGAAGCAAGAACATCTGCAGAGCATCTCCCATATCCCCTTCGAGAGTTCCTGCAGGTTTTATTTTTAGATCGCTTTGAGTAACAATGTTTTCTTACACTGATTTGGGGCAGGGGGGTGGAGTCATTGACCTTGAGGGCTTACATTATTGCAGGCTTGTGAAGCTGGTGTGACTGACCCACTGCCTCTGTGCTAAATGCTGGGATTGCTCCTATGGCTAGCCACTGCTCCTGAACCAGAAATGAACCTCTCCGAGTGCTTCAGCCACATGCCAGCCACCCCAGGCAGCTGTAAAGGCAGCTTCCATGACTCTCAGGCATCCTGCAGCACCTCCCAGCCCTGGACTAGGAGATCATCTGGGACAGAAAGGGGGACACAAGCAGAGGATCCTTAGTGATGTCCCCAAAAGACATACGACTCAAAGCCACCTTGTACAAAGTATGGTGCCAGGAAGTAGAACAGGTCAGACCCAACCATGTACAAAACAGAACATACTTGATGCTAGAAGTGAGCACAGCCTGCTTCTTGTGCTGTAAGACACCTCTTTCTTCTGGGGTGCCAGGGATGGGGGGGCATTCGGTGCCCAATCCTGCCCTGGGATGGGTCTAGCTAACCCATCTCTGTGGGGGTTGCATGGGACAGAGACCCCATACTGCTGACACTCTGCTGGGGCAGGGGGTCAGCATGGAAAGGGCTGGTGACTTCCCAGAGTAACACACAAGCTGCCTTGTCGATCCTGTCCCTGGAGGGAGTAATCTTGCTCTTGGTGACTTGTAACAAGGGCTTGCACAAGGCTGTTAACAGCTGATAATTGGTGCCCAGGGCTGCTAATTGCATTCTGCTGGGTTACCTAACCTATGACTCATTCCTCTGAGCAGGCAGCCACCCCCTCAGAGGTACAAAGAAGGTGGGCTGTGGTATGCAGGGCAGCAGGGAAGTCATTTATGTTTGCCTTGGAGACCTCTGCCCCACTTCTCACCCGTGTCCAGAACAAGTTGAAGCTGGATTTTGAAAGCCTCAGTGCACACAGGCAGATAAAGAGGGCCTGGGAGCAGGTGAGGCAGTGCTGCCTGCTGCTTGGAGAGATGGACAGTGCCAACCTGCCTCCCAGCAACCTTCTTTTGCCTTCCTTTCCCTCCAGCTGGTAACACTTGATGACCCAGGGAAGTGCTGGGGGACATCTGTTTATTTGGGGGGCCTAACAAGCACTAAATTAGGAGCAAAGCCTGACCACCCAAAATGAGGGGGGCTTGCTCCTAACCACCCTCAGCCTAGACCATAGGGCTGGAGATGGTTCCCAGTGCCAGCAGGGGCAGGAGGAGTTGTCAAGCCCTGAATCAGAGTGCCTCACACAGAGTGTTTTCCCTGAGTATTCAAGCACTACTTTTTCCCCTGCAAAGATGCAAACTCTAATCTCCAAATCCATGCCAGGGTGGATGAGAACTTGCTTTGGGACTTGTCTTTTCATCAGCTCAACAAGAGTCCCACTTTGTTTGCCTGCAGGGCAAGCACCCTCCCAGGGGGCTGACTGTGCCTGGATGCTCAGGCTGCATCCCCTGGAGTAGATATCATTTGGGAGCTTTCATCTGGAGCCATGTGTTACACCTTCCCTGGGAGGAGAGCTGCATTTCTCCAGGGCAGAGCTGGGACTTTGCTCTACATTTTAGTGACTGCAGGTTAAAATCTTTTCATTTTCTTTCCTGCTTCCTTCACTCTCGTCCTCATGAAAGACATAGGCAACTGGTTTAGAGCCTGAAATAACACCTCACAGGGGACCCATGAAGTTCATCTTTGCTCAGAGCTTCAAAAGTGCATGACACTAGCAGTGCCCTAATCACAGGGGTGAGGACATATAGAGGACTTGACTGTGGTGCTGGTTGCCCATCTTCTCCCCCACTGACCTCAGGATCACTGGGCTCAGCCCTGTGCCTGGCCTCATGCTCCCCTGTCACAGACTCCTGTTTTCCTGTTGCATGCCCCAGGAAAGATGCATCTACCACCACAACCACCACATCTCCCTGGCGTGGGTATCTTAGCACCCCTTTCCCAAAGCAGGACTCGTAGAGACTGGTTAGGTGTCAGGACCATGCTAGGCTGGACGAGCACAGCTGCCTCTATCCAAATCCTCCACCTTCCCTCTGCCAGAGTCTGAACCCACACTTGGCCACGTGTCAGGGTGAGAACAGCCCCCATTAGAGGGACACTGCCCCCACTCTCCTGGCAGTGTCGCTGGACTCAGTCTCACTGTTGCCCCCAGGAGGATGAGGTAGCTGGCTTGTCACTTCACGATAACCAGGGCACGGAAAGACGCAAAGCTCTAGGGACCTCAGCCAGATGCATCAAGTGAGCTTTTCCCTGGCTTTTCTAGAGCAACCTTGCCAACATCAGCACTGGGGAGAGGCAAGGGACTGAAAAACAGGGGGCAAGTAGAAATGTGAGGGGGCTTGGTCTGTGGCACACTCACCCTGTCCTCTCCCCACACTTCTTGCTGCCCTACAACAGCAAAAGCAGTGCTTCCTCCTCCCCCTGGAGGGCTGGGCAGCTGGGCCTCAGCTAAAGGAGGAGAAAAATACCCCATTGTGCACCAGTCAAATCTTCCCAGTAACACAAGTCCATAGTCTTGACACCCATTCCCATTATGAGTGGTATTTAATTCTCCTTTATACATGGTTTGCCAATAAAAGGCTCCATTAAGAATTTACAGGCAATAAAGAGTACAGCTCCTATAAAATGAGGGTTTGTTACAAGCTTAGTGTCACTCTAACTGTGGTGGAGCACTGGCACACAAGCCATGCTCCCTGCAGCGTAGGGCTGGAGGTGAGGTAGACAGGGGAAGAGGGGACCCGGAGCACACAGTGCTACAGGGGAGGGGAGTGGGAGAAGAGCTTCAAATGTGTGTGAAATATTCTCCTACACAGTCTGATGCCACACAGTTCTCCTACATTCCCCACCTGGCACTCTGACCACACACCAGAGACAAAGGACAGCCCAAGGTGATGGGGAAAAGCCCGCAAGGGTGGTTTCCACCATGGTGGTGGAAGATGTCTCTCCAATAAAATACAGAAAGCTCAGATGGGGGAGGCAACACGTGTTACTCCCTGGCTCTTGGTGGCCTCAAGGGGACCAGAAAGGCTACTCTTGCAGGCCTTTGCTGCTGGCATTCCCTCAGGGAGGAAGGACACGCTACCTGGAGGAGCTTGGGGAGACAGTGACCTCTGAGAACATCTCTTGGGGACAGTAGCTGGCAGAGATCACT